TTCAATTTTTTGCATTTTCAACATAAATTAGCCGTCTCCCAGTGACCCCCAACACAAGTTCTTCTCCTTCTTACCATCTCGCCTGCGTCTTTTCGCTCTTCTTGGCCAGAAATAGACATCGGTTAGGCCAAGAAGAGCAAAATTCCTGGCATCAGAAAGGAACGTGGACAAAACAGGCATTGGAAAAAAAGTGAAGCGTTAATAAAACGGCACAAAAGGAACACACAACAGCAAGCAAAAAAAAAACACAACGGGTTAATAGGGGCGCAAGACGGCGGATGGGGAAAGAGGGGCGTGGCAGGGACCAAGCGGAGTCTGCAGAAGATGTAACCAAAGTCCAGGCCCAAGATCATCATTATCATCGTCATGATGATGCAAAAGAACCCAAAGAAGCTCGGAAGCAAAGAGTGATGAGAGAAGATGTGGAAGATTCAAAAGAAACGAGGGGCAGAAGAACTCGGATTCGCCTTCGGTTTCTGCATTCGGTAAGATCGAAGAAGAACCGTTCCAATGGGCATATAGAATAGGTATTACCCTTTAGTTAAAAGCTTAAAAAGTTCCTAATAAGTTCTCCAGAAATGATAAAGCCTTGAAAATTTAGGGTCTAATGTACGCAGTTCCTTGAAAATATAAATAAATACTTTCCAAAAGTCTCATTAAAATGTTAAGAAATGTACCTTAATTAAAGTTTAAATAAAGTTTTGGAGTCTAAAACTTATTTTGTAATTTATTAGATACCTTAAATTATTTAGGGGTACAAATTTAAGGTATTTATGTATAAGAGACTTGAATAGACATTAAAGGCAATTTCACCTTTAAATTAATTTTAGAAATGCATGTTTGGTCTCCTTTCTATAAAAAGATGTCTAAAAATTGTACAACAGTTAGGATAAGAATTCCAAACAATAAATATCACAGAATCGGGTGTTCAACAGAAATCTTTTTCTAATCAAATTCGTCATGTTTCTTACATAATAATGATATTTAGTGGATATTCAAAAATCGAGCAATGCACAAAGAACCGACAGGCTATCCGGACCATGTATCCATATATGTGGGGTTTTGGGCGTTGGGATTGGTACTGCAAGAACTTCTTCTTCTTCTCTAGAAGCTTCTTCCTCTTTTTCATGTGCTTCCTCCGCTTTGGTCGCGTCTTCAATTGCTGTTGTTATTGTTGTCGTTGTTGTTGTTGTCGTTGTTGTTGTTGTCAGGCGTGTGCGGTGCGCGTTGAATCCGCTATAACAGTGTTAGTACGTTAGTAGGTATACAAACAGGTAAAACAGGTATTCCCAGCCGCTCTGCCCATGCTCATCATCATCATCATGATCATCGTAATGATTATGTTCTTCTGCTGCTGCCGCTGCTGCTGCTGCCTTTTCTCTTCCTCTTCTACCACCACAATGGGCTGGCTGGCTATCGGCTTCTTACTTCACTTGAAGCATTATTTTAGCGAGTCGCCGTCGATGACGACAATTGAGCAAATAAAGATAAAAACAAAAAAGTACAACAAAATATTAAAAGAACACAGCAAACAAAAATTGCTTTAAACGGTAGTTAAAACTATTTTTTTATCCAAGTAAATTTTTCAGTTTAATTTTTTAAATCCTAATTAAATTAAACTATAAATTTACATACATTTTTTATATTTTTCGTATAAATTGACAAGTTTTCAGGACCAAAGATGTTTTAAAAATAACATTATAATATTCAATTTTTAAACAATATTAAATTGATATTGCCCAAAAAATTTTAATATATATTGAAGTAGGACTAATTAAAAATGAGGCGTAACGATTTAAATAAAATGTAATATTAAAATTAAAATAAAAAACAAGTAAAGCCAAGTAATGCGATTACTATAAATATTTATTCACAACCACTACGAAAGTCTACTTAGTAATTTTTCCCAGTCTTTAAAAGCAAGAACAAAAAGCCAAGAAAAGAGTGAGTGAGATCGAGCGAAGTAAGCGCATTGAGGCCCAAAGGAACACATTCTTAAACACAGCAATTACCCAGCGAAATGGGTGTTGGTGGGCAAAGAGGTGGAGTCGGGATGGGGGGAGGAGAAGGGGGAGGGGACAGAAGATGCAGACAGTAAAAACGAGAAAATTCTGCTGGCTCTGTGGGCCCTCTTCTACGCCCATCCAACGACCCTCCCCCAACGCACCCCCTTAACAAACCCCTCCCAACTAACTAACCAAGAACCAAAGCCAAAGTCAAGGCATTAACAGACCAGTGAGCACAGCACTCACACACTTGCCATGTGCAATTCTACACATACTTCTATATATACAGAAAAGATATATATGGATGGTCTTGGTCTATAGTATAGACTCTATACCTTCGGTGGCCTAGGTCTGGGCCAACAACAATAACCAGCTCGCTTCTCATTGGGTTCGCAATCAAGAACTTGAGATTCGCTTTTGGTTAGAGATCTTTATCCACTATCTGTACTTCGGGATTATGGGGGTTTTTAATTAAATAAATAAGAAAAACAAAATCCCTTGTTAAAATGTAGTGTTTTAAATTGTATAAATATTTGAAAAAATTATATATAATTTATATAACTTCACCATTTGATTTAAGTATGTCCATCCACTTATTTAATTCTTTGTAATTTCTTTCAAATTTGTATAAAATAGTGAGAACTTAATTTTATCAAGTAATTTGTTTTCTTAATTTATTAAATTAAAGCCCCTAATGAAATGAAATTCGTTTTCATAGTTAAAAGCATGAAAGAATAGCCAAAATTGAACTTATTCAATATGTTTTCAATACAAATAATTGTTAAAAAGCAGATAATATATTATTTAAGGGTCCAAAATCTGTGTATATTTCGGTTCTGGGCCAGAACACTTGCAATTTGGCCAGCGAGCGGCTTTTTGAGTGAGAGTGAAGTTGGCGCAGGAACAATGCAGCACCAGCAAAAAAACAACAACAACGCAGGGAGATGTTCTTTTGAATGCTCCACCGATCGCAAAGAAGAAGAACCATAGGAAAACCTCTGATAACGCCAACATCACGACATTAACATTGCCGCTGCCTCAACGGCAAAGTCACAGTCAAAGCCAAAGTTACCAACAGGTTTTCAGAGCCTGCCTCTTCGGCCTGTGATTCTCCAGTACGCTCTTTCTCAAATTCTCTCACGATACACATCGATACAGAGTGAGAAAATGTTTGAAACATTTAGTTAGTCTCCCTAGCATTTTTAAATATATACCAACGTTATAAAATATTTTATAAAATAAATTCCAGTTGATAACTCTCCCGGATTTTAAAATAAAAATTTCTAATTATAATATTTAAAATGTTTTCTTCTGAAAATTTGATCTTTCTTCAACATTTTCTTCGTGTGTACCTCTCTCACCTGCGAAAGAGGCTTCGTTTTCAGTTTCGGCTATGAGCTCGTCTTCGTTTTTACCTTCGGCACTTTGCTCTCTTTCTCTCTCTCACCTTTTCGCCGCACACCAGCTCAAAGTTAGCTGTAAATTTGTTACGTCGCCGCAGAAGAGAATATGCGTGCGTCAGTGTGGTCGTGAGTGTGTGTGCCACACAGGTGTGCGCCGCTCTGAATTCGCCGTCGCTTACATCACTTGCTCTGGATGTGTTTGTGTGTGAAATAACGTTAGTTATCCGTTGGCAGCGCACCTGTGCGGGCTAAAAAGAGATGGAGCTCGGCCTGCCTCTCTCGATCCATCTATCTATCTCTCTCTTTCGCTCTGAATCTTATTTGCCATTCTAAGCGCATTCTAAGCGATCTTCGGCGCTCTCTCACACACACATTCAGATGGAGGAATCGGAAGAGATAGAGGGCAGGTGAATGAGACACCGGGAGAGCAAGACGCACACCTGAGAGCGAGAAATGCCTGCGTTGCCAACTATTTTGCCGTTTAATTTCGCTTATATGGGTACTTTTTTTCCATTTTACTTGCCGCTGATGCTTCTTCTTATCCGGCTCGTTATTTCTTCTTATTGTATTCACCGCGGTTCTCTTTTCTTCAATATACACTCACACAGGGATAATAATGATGAAATTTTTGAAGGGCCATGGAAACAAACTATTGGAATCATCATCGTTTTCAACCACATAAAAATCTAAAAAGATTTTTAATATTTTCTCTCCTTGCAATTTCAAAGGGAAAATCAAAAGACTTAGGACACGAACTTGCCAAAAGATTTGAATTAACCGAAAGTTTTTTGAATGAATTATTTTATAAAAAATATATATTTAAAATTTGTATTATTAATACGCTAAATATTTTAGTATTTGAACATTAATGGTTTGCCCTTGATAATCAAAATCTAAATTTGGAACTCTGATTTTATATAGAATTTATTTAAGCAAATACTGGTTCGAAAAGATATAGGTATGTTTGAAAATTTATGTTTTTTTAAGTTATAAACAATATATATTAAATTATTTAAATTGCTTAACTAAAAAATTCACAAAATTAACTAATAATAGTTTTTCTAAATCTTGATTTAATTTACCGATCAACCCAAGCTCTAAGTACAACAAGTACAGCTCTCCGGATCGAGTAAAAACCATCTCAACCGGCAAATGGCCAAGGCGAAGAATCTTAATCATGATCATCGTGATCATCATTATGATCACTACCTTGACTCTGAGGCGAGAAAGAGAGGGACAGAGAGAGAGTGCGCGAGAAACTGCATGAGAAACGTTATGTGAGCGAAATGAGGCAAAGGCAAAGGCAAAGGCAACAGCAACAGCAACGCACACAAAACACTCTCACTCTCTCTCACACAGGTGCGCTCGCCAGGCCGTTTCGCCGTTTTTTTCTCACCTGAGCAGCGGCGAATATCTCGTTATTTTCTGACTCATACGAAAGCGAAGTTTCGCTCTCTCTCTCTCTCTCTCTGTTGCTCTCGACTTACGGTGTTTTAAATTCGCCGTCTAACTGAGTTTGTTGTAGCGGCGAGATCGATCGGTTGACTTTGGTTTGGCCTAACTGACTACCTCGAATACAGTAAGTGGCGAGCCGGCGTTGTGAATGCACGTGTTTTCGCTTCAACTCACCTGGGCGAAATCCAAAAACCAAAGCAAACTATAAAACACACAATATACAATATCTTAATACGAAAACACTGTGTTGTGCATCATACAAAATATGATATACTGAAATACATCAAAACAAAAAGATACAAATTTTTTTCAAGTAATTTTTTTACAAGTGCGCAGAACAAAAAAAAACCAAGAACCAAAAAGTGTTTGAGAATTCAAAATAACTGGAGAAAAACATATATTTTCTCAACACGAATTTTTTGACAAATTATAAAAAAAAAACAACGTTTTTTCGAAGAAGAATTTTAAAAACTCAAAAAACCCTGCTGAAAGGCACATTTTTTCCAAGTGTTTCAAGGAAAACAGAACATCAGACAACAGAAAATTAAAAAAGGAAATTACCAAAATAAAATACAACATTTCCAATTGACTATTTTGAACTTGAAGAACAGAAAAACTTGCAAAAGACATGAAGAGGGCCAAACAAAAGTTGACTTGAGCTCGGCTCATGACAAAATCAAAACTGAAATTAAACAATTTTTTTTTTTGAACGCAGTGGACGAGCGGCGAACAAACATACACACACAATTGGATTAGTGTTTTGTTTATTTCGGACCCACTGTGACTGTCCCTCGTCCACCAATTGCAACACAAATAAAATCGTCGCGTGTCGCCGTCGCGTTTCGTTTCGTATCGTTTCAATCGCTTATCGTTAATCGCAAATCGTCAATCATCCGATAATCCATCATGCCGAAGATTTTCCTGATCAAAAATCGCCTGCATCAGCAGCAACAGCGTTTGCTTGAATCGCAAAACTTGCTGCAGCACAAAAGCCAGGATGACGAGCGCCTGGTGCCGCCCCTCAGTCCGAGTGGGAGTGGCAGCGCCAACTCGCCCACGCCCACGCCAACGCCCACCGCCCAACCACCGCCGGAACCGCAAGGTCAGGGGCAACAGGTGCTCGGACAGGTGCCCGATGCGGATCAACAGCCGCTGAGCCTGACCCGCAAAAGATTCCACCACCGTCGCCACTATTTCGGGCAATCGCGCCACAGCCTCGATCATCTCCATCAGAATGCGAACCTTAATCAAGCACAAAATCCTGCGGAATTGGAAGTCGAGCGCGCCACTGGCCAAGTTCAAAATGGTAAGTTAAGATTCTCTAAAGAAAAAAATCAGAAATTAGAAAAATCCTAGACTTTTGAAAGAAATTTCTTGTTGAGTTTTCGAGACCAAATCTTAATACCTTTGGGTTTGTAGATAATATATAGCTCTTGCTGGCACTTCAAAAAAAGTGGAATATTCAATCCCAATAAATCTAATAAATATGAAATCATTGTCAGATTCAGTATATATTTATATTTCCAACATACTAAAAGACATCTGAATTCTCGTTGTCTTTCGTTTAAATCGTTTGGAATTCTCTTTAAAAAAACCTAAGAACAAAGCAAAGAATTTTAATTTACTTAAATAAATAATTGCTACAAATCTGTCAGTCAGTTCTTTTTTCGCCGTTGGCATATTGGCAAGCGTATCTATTGCCTGGAAATCTTTTCAGATTTCAAGCTTCACTTTTGGGCAGCTTTTTGTTATTCTTTTTCGCCCACACCATGACGAACTCGTCCCCAGTGTATCTTTGTATCTTTGTATTTGTATCTGAACTGTCTATCTTCCATTCTCCTAAGCGGAGCTATGGGTTTACTTCGACATCAATCACTTTCATTGAATTTCGTAAGCATTTTTATTTCGTTTCATTTACTTTTTGGCCAAAAGCCCAACCAAAGTTCTCCAGTCTCAGTTCTGTATTCTGTTTTCAGTTTTCATTTTATTTTTTTGCTTTTTTCTGGTTGTCTGTTCTGTTTTTTTGTTATATAATCGCAGCCCAGCATGCTTATTAAGTCATTTCGTTTTTCGATTTAGGCGCTGGTCCTAGGTTAAAGGTTTTAAATTTTCATAAATGATTAGGCGAAGAGAACTTTCTTCGATTCTCGGGCGGGTTTTATTAATTAAGTTCGTTTCGATTTTATTTGAAAGTGAATTTTGTTCTTCGTTCTTTCGGCGTTTTTTTGCTCGAGTCTTTTGTTTCTAAGCCTTCTTAACTGCCCTTTGTCTGGCCTTAATTATATCTATATTTATTTTCAACCATAGCGAGCTATAGCTTCACTTCAACAGAATCGTCTCTCACACGCAGCCTCATAATTTTACCCCTTACACGGGCATTATATTTCATGGTTATAGCTTATATATATATATATACATATTATTTCCACGGAGAGCGTAGAGTGCTATATACATTTATTAAATTAAATAACACGTTGCGTTCTCGGTTCCTCCCGTTTTATCGCCGCCCAAGTTACCTTCGTCTTCTCTATCGCCTATCCACTTAAAAATGTATTATGAACGCTTCCGCTGTATAATTTTTTATGATTTCTGCGGATATTGTAATGGAAGCTATTTGAAGGGAAATCGTTTCACAACCTTATGTACTCCAAGGAAAATTGCAAAGGTGGTTAAAAATAAACTGCCAAGGAGAAGTAAGACTTTGTTAATAGATATTTTCATTAAGTAATTATTGCAGCATTTTAAATTCCTTAAGATTTGCTTTTAAACCAATCCTCTGCTCTTAATAAATGTTACCTTACCCTTTTCCCATTCTCATGCTGCTCTGATTTCACAAAGCCCTCTGGTCACACTGGCTGTTCACTTTTTGTTCATTTACCGCTTACGGTTCGTGTTTTTCTTGCCTTTAGTGGGCTGTGCCCATGGCCAAGAACTTCACACACTTGAGCGCACACTCATACACCAAAACCCAAGCAAGAACGAAAGAAAAAAAAATTATATAACTAGGAAAGTACAAAGTAATAAAAGACGGCTAAGAAAAAAAAAATCTGCTCTCGACCAGGCAAAAGTACAAGTTTTGCCAGAAGATGAAGAGCCGAAGAGCCAAACCCCAAAGCAGCGAAAAGAGTGTGGAGCAGAAAAATAACTCTTTTTTTCTGCTTTTTGTTTGGCTTTGCAGCCTAGACTTGCGCTAAAGTTCCAACTACACACAATGACTAAGAAGATCATCATGATCATGATCATGGGAGCCAAGTTCAGTTGGGGAGGTGGAAAAGGAAAAGAAAAAAAAAGGAAAAGGAGGATGGGGATGAGGACGTTGGGTGGGGTGCATTGTAGGCACGTCGTCTGCCATTTGGCCTAAGCAAAGTCAAGGCAACTGGCCATAATAAAACTTGTAGAACCAGTCGAAATGAAGACTGGGGAGAAGAAACCCACCAGAAGAGCCAGCAGAAAAAAGCCTGGCAAAAGAACAGAGCTTGTGAAATGCTAAAGGGCCTTGGAGGATGAACATTGCAAAAGAACGAGGCAAAGATGCCCGAGAAAACCAAACTGAAGACTGAACTTCATGCATATATGGGCATGAATTCCTCCTAGTTTTTTTCTTTCGTAGCCCTACACAGCTGGAAGTTATGAGCATAACTTCCTGTTACATTTTTCTCTATCTCCAGCCAGCGATCTCTTTATGCCGCCAATTTCTCCTTTTGGGCCCGCTAGTAAAAGTCAATAAATAACCGAAAGGAAATTCATTGATCGACCGATCGAGTGATAAAGAAATTTCCAAAAAATAAAAAGAAGAGCGATCCATGCAAATTCTGCAGCTGTTAGAACTGCAAGTTCAATTGCAAGCACACACAGCTTACACGCAGATGTTGCAATCCTCGAGCGGAAGTTAGCGAAAGGTTCCCTTGAAGACCTCGCGACCCTTCTCCAGAGACAAGTTCAGCGAACCCTCACAAACAACACTCACCGTGTCTCAGAAAAATAAAAAAAACCGAATAAAAAAAACACAGACGACGACGAGTCAAAAGCAAAAGTCAAGTGGTAAATGAGGTAAATGGTAAATGCAAAAAGAGAAAGAAAACAAACCCAAAACCCATTACTTCATAGTGCCGCTGAGATTTTCTTTGGAAATCAAATCAATTCTATTGTTTATTCAATTAAGCGCCCGATCCCCCAGTCGTTTCACTCTCAGATCTTCAACTAATTGGAAGTTAAGATGGGCATCTCCACTTGATTGAACATATGTAAATGGATTATAGATACCTTTCTGCATTGATTAATCAAATCAAGCCTCATATTGGTAACCCTTCTCATTGGAGAACGAAAACTTTGAGTGCTGTCGAAATGTTCTAAATGGAAAAAATATTTCCGAATCCATGGGTGTATAATAAAAGTACATTTATAATAAAAAAAAAACAAATAAATAACATAATTTAATTTTAGGAAGACAATTTATAAAGCCACTTGGAGAATACCAAATTCTAACATGAAATTCCCTATTGGCAAAAATTTTAAGATCAATATTAATCTTATAAATCAGTTATTTCCATATTTGAGAACAGAATTAAGAAAATTGCATCGATTTCTTGGCTTATTTTAATTTCCCAAATCTATTTAGCCAGCCCAAGTTCGCTGCCTAAATCATTTGTAATCGAAAGACTGAGGCAGCGAACTTGATTTCTCCAATAGGCAGCAAAAATGCGTTATTTTTGGCTTCGCTTGTTTTTTTTCCTTCCTTTTTCCCTTGTATATTTTTTGGCATTAGTTTTACCTGCCGAAAGGCTGATAAAACAATGCAACTATGTATGGGTGTGTGTTTTTGTGGATCTACCTGTGCCGAGGGTTTTTTTTTAATCTCGCAACCAAAAACGATATTTGACAATCGGAAAGAGGAGAGAGAGAGAAAAGCGAAAAAGGGCAACCAGAGAATCGGAGAATCCGAATCCTGCACACCTCGATAACATTCAAAGCCGAGATTTATTTGTGCAGTGAATCAACAAACAAGAACACACGGCACAAAGGAAACGGGAGAGAGAGAAAGAGAGAGACTGAAAAAAACAGGTCTCAAGTGCTGCCAACCGAGAAGAAGAAGCACCAGCGGCAGAAGAAGAAGAGAGCCAGAAGAACGTAGAATATACATTTGAAAAAAAAGGAAGCAAGTTTTTTTTTGTTCGCCTTCGCTGGGTGTTTTTCTTTTTTTTCCGTTGCCTCTTTTTGGTATGCAGTTGAAGAAGAACAAGATGAATAAGAAGGAGCGATGTGGAAGAACAACAAAAGAACGAAGAAAGAACGAAAGAAAGATATATATATATATTCTTGATCATGAGCAATGATCAGCGCAATGATGATGATGATGGTGCGTGTATTTTCTTTGTCTTTGGCCCTGTCTCCCTCTCCCTCTAGCATACATATATCTATCCCCCTTTGTTCTTCTGGCATGAAAATGCATTATTTCTCCATGGGCTGCAACTATTTCTAATTGAATTACCTTTTGATATGGATAGGCAATGATAAGATCAATGGAAGTAGTCAAAGAGGAGTAGAGAAAAACACCTAACGAAAAAATAAACAATAAGAATGATTTTAAGGATAGATACAACCCATTAAACACATTTACATGCAAGTAATAAATGTGTAGAAATACAAATCGTATAATACAAAATCCAAAAATATATTTTCAAATACTTACATTGAATATAATAATAATAATATTAACATAAATACTTGAAATATTTTTAATTCATACGATTTACTTTTAATAGCTTGCCTTTTTCCATAAATAAATCGGATCGGCAGAAACGCAGACAAAACAAATAAATTGACAAAAATATTTGCAATTTTTGTCTCAGCTTTTTCATTAATTTCTGACTGTTTCTGCAATCGCACAAGTGTCAATAACTTGTAAATCGCTTGGGCTGCGAATTTCTTATAATTTTCGAAAAAATTATTATTATCAACTTTTATGCAGCCGAAACGGGGAAACTTGTTTCGTTTGATATATTTTTGTGTATTTTTAATTCATTTTTTTTCTCGATTTTTTCTTTATTGTTTTAAACACGTTTTTATAACATTTGTAATCAAAGCAGCAAAAAGCACAGGCCACAATTAATATAGAACTCGTTTTCATTCTCGTTTGATGTTAACAACAGCAAAAACAACAAAAAGTTAACTGTTTTTTTGTGAAATATTTGCGTTTTTGTTGGCAGAAGATCGACGAAAAAAAAAACACGTTTCGGCCGGGCCAAAAACCACAAAAGGCGCGAGAGGCAGCGAAACGGTTTTTATTTGCTCTAACCGAAAATAAAC